ATTGTGTAACAAGGGAAATAAAAATATTAAAAATTTTATACCACGTGAATTTATCATTTTAAAAAACACAGTTAAGTAGTACTATATGTTGCCTAATGTACTGAAAATGTCATAAATGTACTGACAACAAGTATAAATATAAAATTTAATAAATGAAAATTTTTACTGTCATTTGAAATAAAATAGAATAAATTTAATAATTAATTAATGTCAACCTAGTTACTAATAATAATTATTAAATAAATATTTAATTATTACGGACGGGTGGGTCAATTGTAAATCGTGCCGAATCGAGTGTACAAGTATTTGTGCCGCACTTGGGTCCGGTCAAACGGCCAAAATAATAGCGGGCGGTCAGACTGTCCACCCCTTTATTACTGGAACACCCGTAAGGGTCGTCGGCTACCCATACCTTAGACAGGAATAGTACATCCCCTGCGCACCGGCCACTTGTCACTGCGCCTGTGTTTACTTCAAACAAATCACCTAGATTCAAATATAACCATGTATCAGATTTTTTGTAATTTATTTACATTGTATTGTTTTTACACTTATTAATGTAATGCTTTTTAAAGTACACTAACTCTGTGTTAAATTAATATTGATACTGTATATTGATATTGTATATTGATTGTATCTCAATTATAGATCAATTGCATAATTAAACATGGTTTCAATCTTACCATTCATATAAGACAAATACACTGCCAATTTGTCAAATGGTAGTTTTTCCACTTTACCATCTACAACTATTTCATACTCCCATTTGGCAAACATTGAATCGTAACCATTACAAGTAAATGGATCGGGAAATGTCACATTAGTTAGCTGTATATATTGTACCAACGAGCCTGAGCATTTAACTAATTCCCATAATGTGAAATTGACATCGACAAACGGGGTAATTGCTGCAATAGTTTAGTTAATTATTATTTATGATAGATCAGTGTTGATTTATTTAATTAATCAACGTGAAATAAAAATATTTGTATAAAAATTACTTTCTCGTCGTCCAGGTTGTGGAAATCCGTTGACACCAATATTATCATAAGCTAATATATATTTTTAATTAATTAATTATCTTGTTTGTGGTAATTAAAGTATAAGCAATATTACCAATACCTTGTCCAGCGTTTGGCAATTCATTTCCATTGTGGTCAAAGTGAGCATCAATTCCTTTAAAAATATACAATTTAATTATTAATTACTATTTTATAAAATTTAGTTATGTTTTTAATAATTTTGTAAATTATTATTACTGTAAGAATAAGATGATTTCAATAAAATAGTAAAATAAATACAACTTAAAGCAACTGAATAATTCATTTTAAATAAATTTAAGTTAATTTTATAATTATTTAACACAATATCATTCATCACAATAAATAACTAACATTTAAATCATCAGTATTTATACTAAATGTTAATAAAGTTACTTATATTAATAGATAACATTAATACTAAGGTTAGGTCATAACTTGATGTTTATTTATAAACTGCATACATATCCTTGTCTACCTTATTTACTTTAGATATTTAAAAAAGTACATGTTAAGTACAATAACAGTACAATTAAAGTTACAGAAAATGCCCCTGTTTATTATGTGTAAATTTAGATTAGACAATTTTAGTGCAACGGTAACATTTGCAAATAGACAAGGGCATTTTCTGGGTAAATGTAGTTGATAAATAAAAAGTGATTGAACATTAAGGTATGACTTAATTATAGTATTAAAGTTATCTATAAACAAATATTCAAGATAACCTTTGCACTAGTTATACAGTAAAATCTATACATGTCTTTTACATCTTGATAGTCACCTGTATAGTAATTTTCAATAAATATTGATATACATAGTGTTTGCGCAATTTGTAAATTGGTAATTTTAGTATAAATAATGGAGGTATAAATCTAATTAATTTATTGTGAAATGCTATTTGTGTTAAATACATGTCAATGTAATTCATACACTATTAAAATGAATTACTCAATTGCTTTTATCTTTATTAATTTCATTATTACATTAAATGCAGTTTATTCTTACAGTAATTATTATTTTTTTTTAAATCATTAAAATTAAAACTAAATAATATAAAAATAAATTAATTAAAAAATTAAATTGTACATTTTTAAAGAAATTGATATTGAGCTAGACCACATTGAAAATGAGTTGCCAAAAACTGGACACACATTTGGTAATATTAATTAAACTAAACTAATCATGCAAAATAATTTAAAATAATTTTAGGTCATCAAAATATTGGTGACAACGGATTTCCTAAACCTGGACGACGAGAAGGTAACTTTTAAAAACAACATTAAATTACATTAATTTTAAATTCAACATTAAATTAAAGTTAACTATACGGATATAAATTAACTAAAAATTGCAGCCATTACTCCGTTTTACACGGTGAATTTCACCTTATTCGAATCGGCAAAATGCACAGGGTCGTTGATACAATTTATACAGTATAAAAATCAGACATTTCCCGCTCTCTTTACATGCAATGGTTATGATTCGCAAGTTTTTAAATGGGAATATGATATCGTTGTAAATGGCCAAGTTGAAAAATTACCAATTGACAAAATGACCGTGTATTTGTCTTTTCTTAATGGTAAGTTCCACACCATGTTTAATTATATAAATAATAAATGAATTTTCAATTAAGTTAATAATATTTTATTAGTTATGTTTTAGATTTAATGTACTGTACATTCAAATATATATTCAAATAAAATTTTATTATATTATTATAAGTAAATACAATAGTAAACATATTACCATTAAATTACTTAAATCTAACAAAACATTATATTTTAATCAAGGTGACATGTCTGAAATAAACACAGGCACAGTGACAAGTGGTCGGTGCGCGGGTGATGTGCTGTTCATATCTAAAGTATATGTGACCGATGATCAGGACGGGTGCGCCAATAGTAAAGGGGTGGACAGTCTAACCGCCCGCTATTACTTCGTCCATTTAACCGGACCTAAATGTGGCACAAATACCTGTACACTGGAATCAGCAAGATTTACAATTAACCCGCCCGTCAGTAATAATTAAACTTTATTTACTAACTATTTTATTATTAACATAATGAAATTATTTGTATTTAATTTTGAATAACAAATAAAACATTTAAATTAATAAAATATTTGTTAAATAAAACACTTTAAAAAATATATCAAACTTATCACATCATAGAATATTTGAAATCTACTTGTTATCCTTTTTACAAGTGCAAGTTCATTTTTCGCACAACTGTGCCATATATACAGTATAGTACTCTCTATTAAAAATTTAGAGAGAGAGAGAGACGGATTAAGAATATATAAAAAATATTAGTTACTTAAAAACAATATAATGTTGTGAATTAATAAAATTAATAATGAACCTTAAATGATCAATGTACTATTTACCACCTGGTCATAAATTTTTACCCCACAGAATTCATAGTATATCAGGCTCATTTATGTCCATTGTTTAATCAGTTTATTGCCTATGTAAGTATTATCATGATGTGTTAAAGGTATAAATATAAATGTAAAGTACTATACTATTGTTTAAGTAGTTTACAACAAAAATTATTAAAGTTAATTAGTTTTTTAACTGTAAAAATTATACTAATTAAAAATGCAGTTTTTATATGTATTCTCAATGTTTGTAATTATGATAAATGCTGTGCCAATTGACCAGCATTCAAATCAACCTGGATTTAATGGCACAAAATGGGTGGTATTGGTTGCCGGAGCTGATGGTTGGCCTAACTATGCCAGCCAGGTATTTATTAAACTAACATGCTAATTATATAATATTCAATTATTTAAATTGTTATTTTTACTAAACTAAGTCAAGTGTATACCATGCATATCAATTTTTTCACGCCAATGGTATACCTGATGAAAACATCATAGTATTTCACCCTAATGATATTGCTCACAACATGGCTAACCCAACCCCTGGTATTGTCATTGATCATCCAAACGGTACAGATGTATACCATGGAGTTCCCCTGGATTATACTGGTTTTTATGATAGAGCTATGGTAAATAATTATTTTGTATATTTATTTAAAATAAATATTATGGATTCATTTTTGTGTCATTTTTATTTAATTTGTTTTTAATTAATATTCAGATGTTTAAATCTGTGTTGAATGGAAGCAATGATTTAATGAATGATGGTAGAAAAGTGCTAAATAGCGGTCCTAATGATCATGTGTTTATTTATTTCATTGGCCATGGTGGTCCAGGTAAATTTATTTAAACTCTCTCTCTCTCTCTCTCTCTCTCTCTCTCTCTCAGTTATTTGCATACAATTAAATCATAATATTTTATTTTCCAGATTTAATCTTATTCCAAGAAGGTGATGATTACTTGTATGGTGATGATTTGATCAAGCTGCTTAAAGTGATGCACCAAAACAAACGCTACGGGAAACTAGTGTTTTATTTAGAGTCATGCGATTCTGGTAAATAAAATATTAGCAAAGTTAATTTAAAAATAAATCATTAGTTAATTAAAAAGTTGCTAACAAATATATAAATAGGATCAATGTTTAAAGACCAATTGCCCGCCGATATTAACGTATACGCTATCACATCATCAATGTGGAATCAAAACAGTGCCATGATGTATTATGATAAACGTTATAAAACAATGATAGGTAAGTTTTTATTTTTATTTTGTTACATTATATTATTGTACAATTGTATATTATTTTGATCAAGTTTTGAAATATAATTATTTAATATGTTGAGTAATATACAATAATTATATTTATGGTATTATCAGGTAGTTTTTTCGCTCACTACTGGCTATTAAACAGCGAGCAGGCTGATTTAAACAACGAGACTCTGCAACAGCAGTTTGATTATATATACAAATGGACAAACACACCTGGTCAGGTAGATGTAGACAATAAAACCCAACAGGCACAGCAATATGGTGATATATCCATCGCAAAATTACCAGTATCCGATTTTACAGGTTATTAGTATACGTATAAAAATGCTCAGTACTAATAACAAAATAATTATATATTTAGGTTCGCATAAAAGTGACAAACATTTATACAATAATATTAAATTTGATATAAATGATTATGAGTTGGTGGCTCATAGAGATGTGCCAGTGTATTTATTAAATGCCCAAATTGATAGTGCAACTAATCCAGCTGAAATACAAAAGTAATAATTTAGTTTACATGTAAAATATTATAGATTACTTATATTTTTTCAATAGATTTACTGAAGAATTGGAGAGTTTATTGAGAGGCAGACAATATGTGGACAAACATATGACTGAATACGTGAATAGTATTCAACACTTACTGACAGTCGATAGCAATGCTATTCTAAACACTAAACAAGAGCTCAATAATAGACAGTGTTATCAACAACTTGTCGATAATTATCATCAAAACTGTTTTAATTTGAATCAAGTATTAAATCGTTAACTTATTTATAGAATAATAATACAAAATATATAATTTTTATTTAATGCCAGAATCCATACGTTTTGGGAAAACTGTATATATTTGTGAATATATGCGAAGAAATGCGTGAATCGAGTGATGCGGACATCAATGCTGTCAACCAATTGCTGATACAATACTGTCAACAAAATGTTAATAACAAATACTCACAGATTATTGAATAAAATATATAACAATATTTTAAAACAAATATCAAATTGACAATAATTACAGTATATATAACCTGTATTTTAATCAAATTATTGCCCGGTTTATATATTAATTAAAACGTTTTAGAATTTTTATGTATAATATGATAGTAAACGATATAATCTGCAAATAAAAATTAAAAATTAAATTCAAATACATTTAATTATAATATTATTTCTAACTTTATATCCTTGAAATCGATTAATTTTAAATAATTTCCAACAATAAAAGCCAACTCTATTTTGACCCAAACATTCAATAAATGACATTAACTAAAAAATATAAAAATAATACATTATAATTAAAAATTTAAAAAATAATAATGTTATATTATATTATAATATTAAATATACCTTCAATTTATGACAAATATTAATTTGTTTGGAGATAATCAACATGTTAAATAATTTATAAGATCTGACTGCTTGATTATGAATTTGTGCTGAATAGTGTATTATAAATGCTAATGTAATAAAAAATTGAATCAACGTAATTAACGCCATAATTTTAACCAGATAAATTGTTTTATTATGAGTAAACATTAT